GTCTGCAAACCAAGAGTCAGTTGTCAGAAACAAATTTAGTCTTAACATTAGTCTTAACATTAACAATACTAATCACTCTGGTTCGTATTGTTATGAGGAAATCTGCTACGATTTTTCATTCTCGTAACTTCGCAGCGTTTCTGTCAACGGTCTAAGAGAAATAGTTTACGTAAATTAAGACTAATTTTGTTTCTGACAATGGGCCCCAAGTTTGTAACCGCGACGACGTTTTTGTTGTCAGGGCCATAGACGACATCAGAAGACATTCTACGTACAACATATATTCCATGTATTTATTTATTTATTTATATATATATTGGTACAGGATTCTTCATACTACAGCGTACCCAATCAAAATATGTCCAATGTCAAAAGGTCAACATTCACGCTTGCTCTACCCTCTCTCTCTCTCTCTCTCTACGTGTAGCTCTATCAGTATTCACCTCTCGTTATTGCTTAGATACACGCACGCACGCACGCACGCACGCACGCACGCACGCACACACACACATACATACATACATATCAAGAGTGCATAATAGAGATCACTCTTATGCATCTTCTATTATGCACTCTTCAACTCTTGATACATATACCTGTCAGTGCGTGTGCGTGCGTCCGTGCGCTTACAAGTATATATATACAGGATTCTATAGTCGCCTACAATACTGCAGGTTTCGCTGCATATTTATCTGCGTGTTTTTTTTCCGTCTGTGGGTCACAGAGGGAGGCACTAACTACGCAGCAGACGGGTTGAGTAAGTTCTAATGCAAATGTCAGCGCCTATTCTTAGCCTGGTTAGAGGAAACCAGCATGCCTGCCTGCCTGCCTGCCTGCCTGCCTGTCTGCCTGCCTGCCTGTCTGGTTGGTTGGTTGCCTGTCTGGTTGCCTGCCTGCCTGCCCGTCTGTCTGGTTGCCTGCCTGCCTGCCTGCCTGTCTGGTTGCCTGCCTGCCTGCCTGCCTGTCTGGTTGCCTGCCTGCCTGCCTGCCTGCCTGCCAGCCTGCCAGCATGCCTGCCTGCCTGTCTGGTTGCCTGCGTGCGTCCCCTTAGTACGCGTGCCTCACTGCCAACTGATATTCCTGCTGCAGCAAGATGGGTAAAAACCACAGCTAGAGCTTTTGCTATGCCGAGGCCAAGCTGGTTCTGTATCCATCTCCCCTATCTCTCTCTCTCCCTCTTTCTCTTTCTATCTGTCTCGCTCTCTCTCCCTCTTTCTCTTTCTATCTGTCTCGCTCTCTCTCCCTCTTTCTCTTTCTATCTGTCTCGCTCTCTCTCCCTCTTTCTCTTTCTATCTGTCTCG